GGCTGGCACACTGATTCACTATGAATGTAGGCCGCACCCCTTAAAGGCAGAAGCTCGTACTACATCCGGTTCGCCCGCTATTGACACAGTCTTGAAACTTTACGATCGCACCTTGTATGCAGTTCAGAGTCATCTTCATGTAGTGAACAATTATTTAAAAACGATAAGTTAATAACACCTTCTGTGTGGCTACTTTGTCAAAACTTATAATTCAACTACTTGCATATTTTTACTGCATTTCAGCCGACTATTTTAACCCCTGTTCCAAAAATGACCCGAAGTTCAGCGACTGCGCGCTGAAGCACGCAGAGAGGCTATTCCTAGACTTCTCAAAGGTGACTGTCTCATTCTCTCCATTGTACTATATACAGTGCGAACAATAAAAGTGTCATATTTAAAAAATGAACATTTTCTGTTGAATTGCTTTCTTCTTTAAAGATGTGAGAAATGTGTCAATAAGCAGCCTGCCGACCGGAAAATATAAGGAGGAGACTGTGATTTTGGACACCTAGAATAGCCTTTTGTATTTTTTTCCAAAATAATATTTGATACTAACAGGCTATACCTTAAAGATGTGAGAAATATTTCAATAAGCAGCCTGCCGACCTGAAAATATAAGGAGGAGACTGTGATTTTGGACACCTAGAGAATAACGATCATGATGCAAAGACAAAACGCGACTCGACACTTTGTGATTTTATTAGAAGACCATAATAAGAAGTTTATTCAGCCAGTTAAAGGATCGCAGCCTGCCGACCTGAAAATATAAGGATTTTGGACACCTAGTGAATAAAGACACAATGCAAAGACAAGACATGACTCGACATTTTGTGATTTTATTAGAAGACCATAATAAGAAGTTCATTCAGCCAATTAAAGGATGTTTAAAGGAAAATCAACAGAATCATGTTCTGGTAACTTTAGAATTTTTTATGTGGCTAGTTTCACATTAATTATAAATGCTCATTGTAAATAAGACACTGATTTTTAGGCGACCCGAAGTATGGCGTGCCTGTCCTAGATCCAGTCCTTGTCGAAGAAGTAGTAGTCCGGGATTCAGGAATTACAATCGCTGCTCGGAACTTCACCATCGAAGGAGCCAAGGAAGCTGTCCTGCAGGACGTGAGGTAATTAGGCTAAATGACTTACACATTTATCCAGCTATTAATCCGAGCGGCTTATTACAACTGAAACCCAATGACAGTCAGGCAGTTAACAGAAAAATAGGCTTCCAGTTTACAACTAACACTTTCGTAATATACTGGATAATTCAATACCGCTAATACAAAAACATGACATTATGTAACGATCCTGATCTTGTTCCATTCACCACCCACTCTCACAACATATCTCCCTACCATTAATTTTAAAATTATCCTACCATTTCCACATTCTAACACGAATTGACTTATATCACATTAAAATATCGTATTTCGATTATTAAGTGGCTATATCAGTGTTAATTTTATAGTGCCCTGCTCAAGCAAGAAGTTGCATTTCTTTTTTTCACCTGATATAAGCAATTAAAATGCAATTTTTTATATAAGGTAAATCCGGGAGAGATTCCGCGGCTGGAGAGACGCAGAATTCTTTAGGTCGGTTGTTTCCGGTAATCCTTGGCCGATGGCAATACATATCCTTGTTCAGTGAGACGAGAGAAATGTTGTGAGTGCAAGCAAGAATTATAACTGATTTTATGCTGCGAGTTTGTTAATTTTGTGCTCAAAGTTATATCTATTGTTCATAAAATTTGTCTTTATTGGATCCAGTCGAATTAACTATGAAATCACTTTACATTAGAGGTTTCCAGTGTTCTTGGTCTTGACGTCACACGAAGTGGCCGCCATTTTGGTCATTGGATAAGGCAAGTGGATAGATGCCACACTTAAAAATATACCACAGCTGACTGAAAGAAGTCATACATATACATTAAAGGATACTCAAAAATGCCTGTTCAATTTCATTATCTTCTAACTAGATTGAATCATTGTTTCTAAAAATGACGATTAAAATCAAGTTTGCCTTCTTACAGACTATAACTCACTTCATAAGATGTACAAGGTTGGAAAACTTAAAAAGAATCAATAAAAGAGAGTTCTAATCAAGAGACCCCTGAAAATTGAGTTGCAAAAACTGGTTTTATGAGTTCTGCTCTCCGTACAAAGACAAATGCGTCGACTGCGGCAGAAAAATTTTGCGAAAGGAAAATAGCAAGAAGCAGAAGTGAAACTAGCAAATTTAAATGACTAACACGTAGACTCTAAATTCACTGGTTTACACTTAGTCTCGAAGTAAACTCTGGAACACTCTTCTTTGAATGTATTTACTTAGTAATTAAAAATTCATTTCAATATTCATTATCTTTTCAATTTTTATTGGTATTCCAATATTTTTTCCATTTTTAATGTTCAAATTAATTTATTACTTTGAATAAAGTTCATCAGTTTTCATTTACATATGTTTCTTTTTGAATTCACAGGATGTGTTCAAAGAGCGGCGTCTCTCTCGGCATGTCCGGGAGAGACGCCGCTAAGACAACTTTTCTTTATCGCCCTATACCTCTGAGAATTAATTTGCTGTAGATATTTTGTTTATGGATTACTATAAAATAGATCTTAAATATAATATCTCTAAATTTTCAGCCATTTTGACAATTTTCGGATTGAGTTAAAACAAATATTGCAAACAGTGAGTCATCTCTCCCGGATTTACTCTATACGTTGGAATTTGATAAAATATTCATACAGGCGTATCTGCGTTGTCATTTCACCGATTACGTACACACAGAAGTAGAGTAAAACAAGACTGGCACAACTGTTTAGGTGGGAAATGACTTACCAACTCATATAAACATCAATTAAACAAAACTAGGTTAATAAAAATAATTGTATATTACCGCTAGTAAAGTTATGTAAATTCATATATTATATTATATAAGATCTGTAATCACTGGTATTCAAATTTGCTTCATAATATGTAATTAAGAGCGTCTATTGATTGGTTGTAAAGGTGATAGTACAGAAGTAAACGCAGAGAATGTGTCACCAGATTACCCTAACAAATTCCGGTGTAAAGGCATTCTTAGATAATGTTACGAATTTAAAACATATGGAAAGAAGTTAACAAATTAAAATTGCATTCATGAATAAATTTAAAGCGGACAAAATTCTACCAAAAATCGTAAAGATTAAAAAATCTACAACTTTAATTTAAATCTTTGCTTTGAGTGGGTGTAAAACTTAGCCTCACCCTCCAAGTGACGTAAAAAGATTGAACGTGTGTGAGAAGAGAGTTCTTAGGAAAATATCTGTATCTAAAATAGATATAGGGGAGAGGAAGAAAACTACACTATGTGGTGTTTCATACTTTGTACTTTTTTCAAAATATTATTAGAGTGACATGATGGGTAGGTAATTTAAATTGAAGTTATAGGAAATGCGTACAAAGTTTTCGTTTGGGAGCCTGAATAAAATATGTCACACAGGAAATAGAGGCAGAGATTAGAAGATAACATTAATGCGTGTAAATTAGATTTATCTGGCTTGAAATAGCGCGTGGGCTCTTATAAACACAGCAACGAAAATCCGGTTCCATTAAGGGCCGGCATTTGTTCACCAACTCAGCGCACAAGGGCTATCTAGCCACGGAATAAGTTGGTTCTGTAGAGGTCTTAAATATTTTTGTTATTAATGTTTGTTCAAAGCCCATTAATTTTGTCTTTCACATATTCTATTCTTTTCTTCCTAAAAGGTCTATTAGTCCACTTTGTCTCCATTTATTCGGTTTGGTTTCTGCAAACATTCCAATTTATTCTGCTACTCTTTGTATAATAACTGGCAATATTCTTTCACAAACTGTGTTTATACTCGTTCAAGTCAATTTTATATTCTCTTTAGCCTTTTCATAATTGCAATGGATATCCACATTATCATCTAAGTGTTCCAAAGATGTAGCATATTTTGATATGTCGATGGAATATTGTTCCTTAAATTCTGCATCATTTACATTCTTCAGAATATATGTGTCCAAATCAAATTTTGAGTTTTTTATTTACTTTATGATAATGTGTTACGTACTTTTCAATCACCAAACAGTGATCAGGATGAAATTCAGCGCCTATAAACTATCGGACGTTAAGAAAACTTAATTTTTATGATCTTTCTATCGGTCGTTATCAATTTGATCATGAGTAATTGAATTAGAAGAATATTAATATTGATTAATATCTATGTTTATAGTAAATTTTTATAACAATATCCAAACTCATTTACACAAAATAATATTAATAATGTTAATTGTATTGTTGATAATTTCACAGAAATAATGAACAAATAATATAATACGCCACATAATATGCAAAAGAATCAGAAGAAAAAAGGAACATCCACAACTACAACCTACAATCTACAAATACTGAAAAGCGTGCATTAAAAAATATTGAATAATTTTAAAAATAAAACCTGAAGATGATGCTGAGACATCGAAACATGTTGTAATATATAGCGCAAATTGTAACATCGAGGAAACGATGAATAGCACGAAATATTTATATCAATTTTAATTTTTAACATCAATATTAATATAGTTTGTGTATAGACTTGAAGAATAAATATATGTATGAATTGAAAACACAAACATGACGAATCTAAACTATAAAAAAAGAATATTAAGTTTATTTAGGAACTGTTTGTCCGCAATAACTAAGTTAAGAATGCTCTACATTTTGTGTACCTGTTTATAACAGTGAAAATTTGTTTTCAATTTCATATTGAAATTAAAACAGGATTTAATTTCTCGAATGCTTGTAATTATCAGTTTAAAAACTGAGATCACACCGTCTAATTCCCTGAACGGCAAATGTTAGGGCGTGCAAAGGAAAGCTTTACCATTTTATGTGTCAAAAATGATCTTTCACTGTGAGGTAAGAATATAAATTCATACCTAAGGAGGATAAAGTACCTGAACAATTCACATTCTCTTTTATACACTTTTCGCTGATGTGTGGATCATAGTGGCCTCCTTTTGGAGGTTTCTTGATCTATTAAAGCGAATTGTAGGACTCCTTGGATAAGTGATCAGTCCGTCGCAAGGCTCCTATCTGAACACAGGACAGCACGACACAGAAACACGCGGACAGACATCCGTGCCTTGAGTGGGATTCGAACCCAAGCGCACGAGTTCCACTCCTCAGACCGCGCGGCCGCTACGACCACCACCAGGTTAGCTTGCCACCGCCATGAAGTCACCCACTATTGTAATATTCGCAAATGTAGTTAGGTTATGACCTGCGGCTAAGTTTAGAAACACATTAATTCATATAGAATCTTCTTAAACGTCTATCGAATGAATAATAAGATAGATGATGAGACTAAGATGGATATATTTTATTGGTAATGGGTGGTGGAAGAACTCGGTCTGGTGACTAGATTTAGTATTAGTGGTGTTAAACTGCGGGTTCTGTTAACACAGAGTAGAATAGAATAGAAAGTTGGCATTAACTGTACTCACTAATATTTATATGTCTCTGCCGCAGAGTTGACTTCGAAAAGCTGACCATTAGCCTCCAGTTTCAAATGCCAACACTTACATTCCGCAGATCGTACGAGATATCTGGAAAGTTGGTAGCCCTGCCTATAAACGGCAAAGGCAACTTTAACTCATCTTTCGGTATGGTATATCGTCAATATTATAATAACACCTCTGACGCTACTAATAATTTTTTAATTAGCTTTCAGGCTAATGGAGGATTTTTACTAACGTAGCATATTTCTGCGCCCTTTCCAGAAACTCAAACTCTGTTATTAATTTGCCTTGGGGTAAGATAAATCCTCATTAATATATTTACAAGCATTAATTTAACGCTAACTTCCAACAATCCTGCACCACAAACCGTTTTAAAATGAAATCTCATGCTTCCCTGTACTTCTATTGTCAGCAAAACAAATGTAGATTGTGTACTTTTCAAGTTTCCTTCGAAACATAGTTACTTGACAATCGCGTGCATATTAATATAAATAGTTGTGGGATTTAAGAAATCGTTACATAAATCTACAGATGTCGTTTAAACCTTAGAAACATGCATGGCACACATCTGAATCCCCAAACAACTATATTACGTAACTTCTGGCAGTTTTATCCATATATACAGGTGAGTCAAAAGTATGTTTACAAACTTTGTGTGCTAATTCCAGGAACAAAAATAAGAAAATTGTCCCTATGAACATGGGGTCACGAATATTTTATTTTCTAAATAATAGCCAAAAATAAGTTTCAATGACTGACTTTATATGGAAGTAAATCGAGTTTTCAACAAAGATTTACAAATAACGATTGGGCACGAATTCTTGGCGGCATGCTTATTGGTCCACACATGCTTCCATCGCGTCTAAGAGGACCTTCATATCGGCGATTCTTAAGAAGACACTTGCCACGTCTCCTTGAAGATGTACCACTGAATACAAGAAGACAAATGTGGTTTATGCACGACGGAGCCTCAGCACACTTCTCCCATCGCGTCAGAGAAAATCTTAATGAACAATGCCCTCAGCGACGGATTGGACACGGTGGCTCAGTAGCATGGTCACCGTGGTCACCCAACCTGACTGCATTGAACTTCTATCTGTGGGGTCACTTGAAGTCCGTAGTTTATGAAACACGCATAAACAATGAAGACGACCTTTGGGAATGTGTGCAGAAAGCATGCCAAATGATTCGAGGAAGACCTGGTGTGTACGAACGAATACGTCAGTCTTGTGTACGTCGTGCTCGGGTATGTGTGGAGAATAGAAGAACAACGTTTGAGCATCTGTTATAAAGAAACATCTCTTTCCTTATACTTGGCAACAAAGGCATACATTGAAACTTATATTTGGCTATTATTTTGAAAAAGGAGCATTTACGACTATATGCTCATATGAACATTTTTCCTTATTTTTGATCCAGGAACAAGCACACAAAGTTTATAAACACATTTTTGACTCACTCTATATATATAGGTTCTTTAATAGCATGCTACTCTTATTTATCGTAATTAATCCGCAAAACATTTTAAGCAGAGTGCCAAAGGGAAAGACTGAATGAAGTGATGTGGACATCTGTAAGCTGAACTGATCACACCACTTCTTTGAAAAGAAACCAATAACATTTCCACCACTCAAACACTGTCTTGCATACATTGTTCTTCAACCCCACATCACCGGAACATCTCTGACGAATGTATTATTTTTAGTACCGGCTTCTTCTGTTATAACTTCATATATATAGCAGAAGTGAGTTGTCCGTCCGACGCCAAGTATTAATTAAACGATTTGTTCCGTGTTCCGTAAACTATAGAATTAAATTATAAATTTAAGCAAGGGTCATGATATATAATTAGCTATTAATTTATTTTATCTATACTTTCAATTAAACTATTAATCACGATTTCCCAACACCATAAATTCGAATCATAATTTTCCGACCTGTTCCCTTATTTTACCGAAAACATTTCAGAATAAAATGTTATAAACATTTTCCGGGGGAGTTTCTTCGATTTTATTCCGATTTTTACGGATCATACAAACAAAGTTTTTTTATTCATTCCTTTCGCAAATATCTTCTCGAATTTTCTGTGGTTTAATTAACTACTTTCCCAAAATTCCATCCCAGGTAACATTTCCGTGCCGGTTTTAGTTTCACATATTTTTAAACTTAATGATGTGAATAATTTCGCAATCTTCGACGACCAAATTATTAAATGGTAACATCTTGTAAAGTGTTTTCAGCTATGTACTAAATATGTTATGCTGCGTTTCTTTAATTACCCAACCTCTGTTTCTATCAATGTCAATAAGTTAGTTTTCAAACACTGAATCTCTAGTGTTCTTTTTATCAAAACAGGCGGAACATGGTTCAAGTGGTAAATTGTATATTTCCACTATAATCTTAAAAACCTTTAAATAATCACCACCAAATAATTTTAGAAAGGCGTTTTAGTCCTTAATTCCATTTGCAAGTTCCTCTATGGTTTTTATAACGATTTCACCAGTTGTTGAAGAATAAACTGACAAAAATACAAAACTGCGAGTATATTATTTTCATCTCCTATAACCGCGATTAATTACTTTAAGTTAATTGTTTTAAAGATTTCCGTGTATTTAAAAATAATCGATTTAAAATTAAAAGATAAACTATAACCAATTACGAAAGTATACGATTTGAGAAATAAATTCACGCATAATACCCTAAATTTTCTGTTGATTACATACTTTCTGTTTGGTATGATACTGTTCGTAAGAAGAAATACGAATAATGTCCTTAAAAATAACAATAATGTGGTTTGAGACCTTACTTTCATAATTAACCTGATTTAATGACATCCGTGTATTTCTTTAAAATATATAAATTATTAAACACAAAATAAAAATAAATATGCCACTGCTACACGCAGAGTTTATACTATTCTCAAAAAGAATTTATGAATACTCTCTTCACTTATCAGTTGTTTGCATACTTTCAATTTGGTATGATCTCCAGAAATCGCCACTAGAATCGACTAATGTTGGTCCGTAAAAATGTGATGAAAGAGAAAAGGAAACAAAAGCAATTCGGGAAGAAATATTCTGTAAAATCTAAAAAATCACGTCACGTAGGATTTGAGATCTTCAAGGCGGCGAGTTTCAAGATGACTGTCTTCTGGTCATGGAGAACACAAGGACCACTTAAACGTCGGTAAACGTCTACTACACAACACGGTGCAACAAACCAGAAGACAGACATCTTCAAACCACGCCACGTTCCAAAATACTATACGATAAAGTAATACATTTTTAAATAAGAAAATATTTTTGTTTCTTAGAGCAGTCAATGCATAATAAACAGAACGTTTTGTAAATTAAATGCTCGCAATGTGGTGGAAACAACAACATTTGTCACTTTTAACATTTAAACTTTAAGAAAGCGACGATTCATATGACCAAACTGCATTACACGAAACACTATCTAATGAAACATATTCTAACAAAAGAATTTCTACGCATACTTTTAATGAAGGCCAACACTTTGGTAAACAATGTACAGAGGAGATAAATATCCTTGTTATGAGCACAGAGAAAATATTACTATAAATATATTAACGAAAAGTAGATATAAATTTTAAATTATATAATGATCTTGTAAAACGATTAAAGGCTGTAAAGAGTCAAAGGAAGGTGTCTATGGAAAAAAAAACAGACTTCGAAAACAACATAACCAGATTATCAATATTAGTCCAAATATTTGTAAGAACTTAGAGAACTTGTAAAGCACCGAATAATCTCATATAATACTAATATGTAGCGAAGGAAGAGATTTAATGAGGTTACTAGTGATGATGTTTTAGTTTGCCTTTGAAATCTGTGATATTCGCGGCATTACTAAAATTAGATTAGATGAGTGCCACAGAAATTATAATCGTACTAAACTGCTTTTCTAATCAGTACAAGAGACTAGATGCACTAGATAAGAGATAAAAATACCCTATCGCAAATATAAAGAAAGAAAATGCAGTAGAAAAAAGGAACTAAGTTAACTGCATATTTTTTGGAATATGTCACTTTTAAATTCACAGAAAGGAATTTATAAACAATAAAAATAGATGGGGTTAGGAAAGGAATAAATAAACAAATCTACATCCGAAGATGAACATTACTACGATGTGTTTTATTCACTACGGTGATTAAGAACAATACGATGTAAAATAACATAATAACATTAAGAAATAAAAATGGACCACCAATATATAACAACTTATTAGAACGTTAGTGAAGTTAAAAAGATTCTAAGGAAGAAACCAAAGTCTGTTTCGATATGGGGCGAAATCAAGTAACACGCAAAAATTTGTGGAATTCATAAAATTGATATTTTAAACTAACGAAAACTTAAATTTTCTAAACGTCTTTATAAAAATAATAGCCCTAGAATCTTGTTCATCTTCAATAACGAGAGTACTGTGAAACTCAGATACTCTGACCTTCTGTTGAAAGTTGTTGCGCAAAGTGTCAATATTTCTACAGTCAATTGCGCAAACGAGTGGAAGTTGCTTCACATACAAATTAAAAAGATTAGTAAAACATGTATTACGTGAATATACCAATAAAATAAGGTTATTTACGGGAGTTGTTAGCAGTGATTCAAGGTAAGCGTAAAAGAGAGATGAGACTATTTCTTAGATTATTGGCTGAGAGATATTGTGTAATAAACTTAGCAGAATAATTATTTTCGATCGTTTTGTACCATTTAAAACACACAATAGTTTCAGAGGAAAGCATTCCACCTAAAAAAACAAATTGTTTTAATTTTCCTTTCCAATTAAGAAATATAATCAAAGTATGAAGAAGTCCAGAGTTGGCTTGCGCACATGAAAACTAAGTGTGTGTTTAAATATGTATACATATATATATATATATATATATTTATATATAAGATCCTATGTTTCAACGCGCTGAGAAACACCCGTAACCGAGATGGGTCTTCAACCTTTAATCAAAATTACAATTTACTCAATACCTTTATAGTAAGTGTTTATTTCTCGTTCTTAAATACAGCAGTATTTATTCGTACTTTTAGGAAATCACTTTCTTCTAATAATTGCGTTATTTTAATATTTATGAAGAACAATTACATTGACTTTAGTTGGCTTCATTATTAGGCATAAACTATTGTGACACTCTAAATGGGAATTTGGCAACGGCTCATTAAAATGATATATTAATTTTCTAAACAAGTAAAATACAATTGTAGGGTTAATTTTTATATAAGAATGTATTTTATGTCCCTCTATATAGAAAGTTTATATTATTCAATTCAATTTATTCATTTAAGTGCTTGATAACATTCAAAAAGGTCAATAACAGCCAAGCACTGACAACAACACAAACATTACAATACAAAACAAACAAACAATGAACTGAATATATAAATGTACCATATTAATAATGATAATAATTAAATTCATTCATTTATTGCAAAATAATTAACAAGTAAATCAGTTAAATAATATGAATAAGTAAAATAATAATTAAATTAAAATCAGTTCAAATTTGAGCAAAACATAGATAATATAAAAAATAAAATATTGTACTAAATAAACAATAAAAAATATTTAAAGAGGAATTAGACATTTTTGTTATACTTGAACGGTTGAAACGAAAATAGGGACGAAAATTTTGCCCGGAATGGATGACCGGACCAGATATTTTGGCCGGGAAGGAAATTTTGCTAATTGCTTGATAAAACAATAACATGATTCTGGATAAATCAGGGCGAAAATTTTATTCGGGAAGAATTTTTTTCGAATTAGTTAATTAAACCCTAAAAAATCAGCATGGAGACTTGGATCAAAACCAATAAAACATTTCAGTTATATAATCCATAAAAATATAAAGAAAGAATGTCCGGAAAAAATATCGGGAAATTATGGTTTGAATTTACATTGTTGAGAAATCCAGATTAATGACTTAATTAAAAGTACAATGTAAAAATATTAAGGAGGATATTTTAATGCTTGGCTCTTGTGTAATTTTATGGTTCAACTTTATGGGTTAGGAAACACGGAAGAAAATATTTTCTTAATACTTGTCTCTTCGGGCCGGCAACTCTCTTCTCTATATATATATATATATATATATATATATATATATATTACAGGGATTGGGCCTATTGACCCGTTCCGGGACAGTTGCCCATTGTTCAGCTAGTATATCATCCATTATGCTTCGTCCTCTCTAATATCCCTGAAATGTACATTTCTCTCTCTATCCAAATGAAAGTTCTTCGTTACTCTCCGCCAAAAGCTCAGAGAGTATAATAACTGACTAAAAATTGGGTCACCAGGATTCAATTTCCGACAGGGGCAGAGAGAGTTTCCTCCAACCTCTGCGTCGAGGCTGCTACTGAGGACAACCCACCCTCCTATCTACGGAGTACAGGGGTCCTTTCGCTTTTTCTCAGTATCCGCTAGAATATACAAAATATCAAACTGACCACAATTCACTCTATAGCAACAAGGTTAACAGTGCATGGATCTTCCCATCATTCCTCCGTACGTCTTCATGGCGCAATGATAAAGCACACGGAAGACATTACCTTTCATTTAGTCCTGCTAAATTTAATATAATACGCGTGTACTGTTTGATGTTAATATCCTAACAAAACCATAACGTTTTAATTACATCTGTTTCAGATGATCTCAAAGTAAAATACGTAACATACTACAATTTCACGAAGCACGACGATGGAAACACATACCTACAGCCTTATGACTACGAAATGTCTTTTGATACGAAAGTTGCATCACTATACTTCGAAAACCTCTTCAATGGAAACAAATTGTTGGGTGAGACACGTATCAATAATTGAGTTCATTCAAGCTAATATCAGGACGGATGATAGATTAAAGCTCTGAGAAATTAAATATCCCAAGGAGGAACAGCTGAACAGAAGGAGTGTAAGGTATGCGTCCAGAAAAAAAGTTACTAGATTGAGTCACATCGACTTAGGTGGAACATTATAAAAATGGCAAGTTATCTCAGGTAAATTTCAGTCAAGAGACATTTCGACCTACTAAGATAGTGCAGTTTAAAAGAATAAATCTGATATATTTGTCTATATGGTACAAATGGAGAAAAAATATCTAATATATTCCCCTAGATTAAGAAACCAATCCGAGGTGGCAGAAATTTTGTTCTTCTGTCACAGGTGACGCCATGAACAACTTCATTAAGGAGAACTGGCGCATTGTTTTAGATCAGATTGGGTAACATCGTACACTAAATTCTCGGACACGTATCTCAGAAAGTGCCTTACAACGAGCTTTTCTTTGACACCGACTGAGTTTCCCGAAAAGCAATTATTTATTTCACATTACTTCTCTAAATACAAGAATCTACAAACATTTAGTATTACTATTTCTATGTACTTCATCCAAAGTTCAACATCTAAGAACAAAACTACTACTTTTCGGGGCTGTCCCTACTTCCGTCTTCAGGTCAAAATGCTTAATGTGTTGGGTCCGATAGGAAGGTGCTGATCCCAGACCCTAGACCAGAGATTTTTACATGAAGATGAAAACAGAGATGGCTCTCGAAGCGTATTTGAATACTGAATGACAGACCACATTCAAAGAAGCAGCTATACTGGATGTAACCCACTATCGTTAGAAAAATTTTTAGTTGCATAAATATACGAAGTTAAGTAAATCAAAATTGCAAAGATGTTCTTTAGATCACAACTGCTTAACCTCATCGCCTCAAAATAAAAAAAATGTTGCCATTGCTTTCTTACAATGATGTACAGAGGGAGTCAAAAGTATATTTACAAACTTTGTGTGAGTGTTCCAGGACCAAAAATAAGAAATAATTATTCCTATAAACGTGGAGTGTAGATGTTTAATTTCCGATATAATATCCGAAAATAAATTTCCATGTATGCCTTCATTGCCAAGTATAAGGAGTGGGAACATCAGGGTTTCCTCTAATCATGTGTCATGCGTTCTGCCAGTACAGTCATTCCTTCCGCCTGATCGTCCTGTTCGATTAAAGTACTGCCAGTGGTTCCTATACCAGTTGGCAGTGGACCCTACACTCCTCACTTGTGTGTTATTTACAGATAGAGCATCCTTTACGACAGAAGGTGTGCTTAATTTTTGACAATGAGCATGTCTAGACACACATCAATCCACGTGCGGTTCCTGAAGCCAGCTTCTAGGAAATATTTTGAATTAACGTTTGTGCAGGAATTGTTGGCGACAAGCTTACTGGTACACACATGCTTCCTACACGTCTAAGAGGACCTTCATATCGGCGAATCTTAAGAAGACACTTATCACGTCTCCTTAAAGATGCACCGCGAATACAAGAAGACAAATGTGGTTTCTGCACGAAGGAGCCTCAGCACACTACTCCCATTAAGTCAGAGATCATCTCAATGAAAAGTATCCTCAGCGACGGATTGGACGCGGTGGTTTAG